TCTTTTATTTCTGACGCCAGCGCTTCTGTGTGGGTGTGACACGTACGATGCGAGTACATGGCCCGTGAGTGCGTATCATGGCTTTCTCGTTTAACGTTTTCCCTTCTCTTGACAAAATCAGCACTTCCAATGTTATTTTTCGAAATTACTTTGACTTCTTTGTTTCTTTCCTCTCCGCTTACCCCGGGGTTGCACGGGCTTTTACCGAGTGAATAACTTCATCCCCATTAGAATTTCCTGTTTCCCTTAGGACGATAGCACTTATGTGTGTGTGTATGCGCGCGATGTGAGTGATTTCTTTAACTATGTCATAAAAACTCCCTTTTTTGAAATGTGTTCTTAAGTTGGTGTGGCGTGGTAATTAGGAGAGATGGGTGAAAGCTCAGGTGTCGTCCTTATCACTTGACCGTGGCTTAAAATTTCAAAGTCCGTCGCCAAAAACTCTCGAGTATAGGTGAACAGTGCGAATTTATAAATCACTCACCCACTTTCCAATTCTTTCGTTGCAGTTTTTTAGTCCTCGGAAACGAAAATGTAGCCTTTTTAAAAATAGTTTTATGTTGAAAAAAGACAAAAAAAGTAGAAATTTTTCAAATTACAAAATTTTACTACTATTTTAAATCTTGAAGTAAAATTGTGAGGATTTTTTGAAATGTTCGACACATGGGAATAAAGTTTCATGAAATTATCTTTTTTAAAGAAGAAATCATTAAACGATTGATTTAAGTATTTTGAGTGTTTTATTAAAATTTGTTCAAAAAAGTTTTTGGCTTTTTATTTTTTAAATCACTGATTTGATACAGATAAATATTTTAAATGAATCTCAGAAATGTATTGAATACATTCTTTCATCTTAATCTGACATCAATAATGATTTAATTTTGAAAATTATATAAAGAGAAAATGATGAAAATTGAAGCAAAAATAACTTTTTCACTCGCCAAATTCGCTGATTTTCGCATGTTTAAGTCAGAACTTTTTGGCGTAACCCTTGAGTTAGATGTGAAGTTTCAGGTGAAACAGTTGAAAGCTATTTGGCGCGAAATCACTTTTTGACGCCAAGGCTTGGTAAACTGTAAAATCGCGTATTTTTTATTAAAGTTTTTATTTTTTAGGGCTTAATTTTTAAGTTAACGCTTTCAAACTTCACACATTAATTTCGAAAACAAAGGACTTTTAAATAAAAAATGTACAAAAAATACTGTTAAGATTATTTCTTGCAATAACGTTATTTTACGAAAATCACAATTTTTTTTTTAAAATCCGTAATTTTTAAGCAATTTTTTCAATTATCGCATAGAAGTTTTATAACATTACTAGCTGTTACCCGCCCGCTTCGCTGGGTATTTCATGATGTTTTATAAATTTTTACTGCTTATATATATGTATAAATTATTGATATCTAAGTCCTAGCATTAAGAATTCGATTGAATTGAAAATATATACTTATACCTGTAACTGTCACCTGTTGATAAAAAAAAAAGGGCAGAACTCATCTAATTTGTATTTTCTAAAAATCTCTAAAATTGAAGCATAGAATGATGTTTGCTCTTTCGTAACTCAAAAACCAAGTGGATTCCCGCAAAACCAATTTTCGGTGGATCTCTACTCCGTAAATTGAACATGCAAGCCAAATTTCAAGTCTAAATCTAACAGAAAAAAGCAAAAGTTTTACTATAAATATCCCCGTAATCCCGTTGAGAACCGTTTTCCAAAATAACCGCTCTTAGCGGATTTCAATTCAACAAAAGAAAAATGCAAACCAAATTTAATTATTATAGTCCTTGCAGCCCGAAAAAAGTAATTTTTTTGTCAATACGTCCCAGTAACCCCCCGCCACACCCCAGAACCTTGATTTGCTTAAAATTTATTCTTAGTGGATCCCTATTCAACAAAAGAAGCATGCTTAACAAATTTCAAGTATATGGGTCTAACAATTAAAAACAGGAATTTTTTTCTGTAACTCCTCTTGACCCCTCGCAAACATCTTTGGGGGTCAATTTTCATTTTACTCTTTGTTAGAGGAACTCTATTTCATGAAAGGAACATGCCTACCAATTTTCAAGCAGGATGATCAAGTAGTTTAAAAATGGAAATATTTATCAATTACGCCTCTTAATCTCCCGAAATTAAACTTAGTAGTTGATATTAGCGAAACCCATTTTGTAGTGGTTCTCTACTTTACGAAAGGAATCTGCTTATCAAATTTCAAGACTGTACGTCTAACAGTTTAAAAATGGGGGTAATTGTCTATAACGCCACTTGAGGCCTCGCAACGCCATTTCTGGGTCTGTTTTCACAAAACACATTTTGTAGGGGAATTGCACTCTATGAAAGGAATCTGCTTAGCAAAATTTGAAGACTGTGCGTCCAATTAATAAAAAAGGCGAAAAAATTATCAATAACGCCCCTTGAACCCCGCAACACCACCTAGGGGTCGATTTTCACAAAACACATTTTGCAGTGTATTTCTATCCTATGAGAGGAATCTGCTAACCAAATTTCAAGACTGTGAGTCTAATAGTTTAAAAAAAGAAATAATTATTTATATCTGCCCTTAACGCCCCGCAACACCCCTTGGGGGTCCATTTTCTCCAAACCCGTTTGTAGCGGATATTTACTCCATGAAAGAAACATTCCTACCAATTTTCAAGCATGTAGGTCAAATAGTTTAAAAACGAAAATATTTATCTCTTACGCCACTTATTCCCCTTCAACGCCACTTAGAGGTCTGTTTACACAAAACCTTCTTATAGCTGATCTCTACTCTATGAAAGAAATCTTTTTATCAAATATAAAGACTGTGCGTCTAATAGTTTAAAAATGGAAATAATTATCTATAACGCCCCTTAAGTCCCCTCAACGCCACTTGGGGCAATTTTCACGAAACCCATTTTTAGCGTATCTCTACCCTATGAGAGGAATCTGCTTACTAAGTTTCAAGACTGTACGTCTAATAACTTAAAAATAGGAATTTATAACGCCCCTTAAACCCCCGCCCCCGCAACACCCCTTGGGGGTCAATTTTCTGAAAACCCATTTTGTAGCGGATATTTACTCCAGGAAAGAAACTTACCTACCAATTTTCAAGCAGGTAGGTGAAGTAGTTTTAAAACGGATATATTTATCTATTACGCCCCTTAATCCCCCGCAACGCCACTTAGAAGTCTGTTTTCACAAAACCCGTTTTGTAACTGATCATTATTCTACGAAAGGAATCTATATATCAAATTTAAAGACTGTGCGTCTAATAGTTTAAAAATGGAAATAATTATCTATAACGCCCCTTAAGTCCCCTCAACGCCACTTGGGGGCAATTTTCACGAAACCCATTTTTCGCGTATCTCTACCCTATGAGAGGAATCTGCTTACTAATTTTCAAGACTGTACGTCTAATAACTTAAAAATAGGAATTTATAACGCCCCTTAAACCCCCGCCCCCGCAACACCCCTTGGGGGTCAATTTTCCCCAAACCCATTTTGTAGCGGATATTTACTCCAGGAAAGAAACTTACCTATTAATTTTCAAGCAGGTAGGTGAAGTAGTTTAAAAACGGATATATTTATCTATTACGCCCCTTAACCCCCCGCAACGCCACTTAGAAGTCTGTTTTCACAAAACCCGTTTTGTAACTGATCATTATTCTACGAAAGGAATCTATATATATCAAATTTAAAGACAGTGCGTCAAATAGTTTAAAAATGGAAATAATTATCTATAACGCCCCCTAAGCCACTGCAACGCCACTTGGGGGTCGATTTTCAGCAAACTCATTTTGTAGCGGATCTCTACTTTTTGAAAGGAATCCGCGTACCCAATTTCAAGATTGTACATCAAGTAGTTTAAACATGGAAACAATTATTATTAAAGCCCTTAACCCCCCGTAACGCCCCTTGCGTTTCGAATTTCGGAAAATCCTTTCTTAGCTGATGTCTACTCTATCAGAGGTACATGTCTAGCAAATTTCAAGTCTGTAGGTTGAATAGTTCCAGAGATTTCGTGATTAGTCAGTCAGTCAGTCAGTCAGTCAGTCGCTTTTCTCCTTTATATATATAGATTCTACAAACGCAACAAAAGTTTCGTATGATAATCTTAATATATAACGAAGTTATTCAATGTTAAGTTAAAAATTTCGACAATTTTTCTAAAAATCTTTAAAAAAAAGTTTTGGGCATTTTATTTTTTAAATGACTGGTTCTAAAAGAAAAAGGCTTGAAGTTATTTAGTGTAGAACATCGTTTTCATAACACGAGAATAAATTCATACGCAACAATTTCGAAATAATTTTCATAAAAACGCATCAATTTTAACTATTTTTTAAAAAAAATCTTTAAAAATAGAAAATTTTATTATTTTTCAAAAAAATTTATACTGTATCGTGGCGAAAGAAATGATCTTTCCGATTCTGTATTTATTTTTTGTCTGATTTAAAAAACAAAAATCGGATGGCTGTTTAAATAACGTCGAGAATACAGAAAAATTTCACCCTCTGTTCATTCACGACGCTAGGCGTATAAAATAACGGGCAAGGTTAAGACAATTAAGCGTTTTAAGGTTTTTAATCAATATCTTTTTAACTAATTACAATATCTTAATGAAAAATAGTTTACGTCCTATTCTCAGACCTACTGAATATACGCACAAAATTTCACAAGAATCGGCCACACCGTTTCGGAGGAATTTGGTTACAAACACTGTGACACGAGAATTTTATATATTAGATATATATGAAATTAAAGTCAATTCCTACTTAGGTCAACAAAGGAAAATTTTATTTTAGTTACTTTTAATTAAATAATTAAAATTATTACAAATTTGTATATACATATGACAGAATCACTCTATTAAGTGGCAAAATAGAAAGCGATTTTCCTTGCAATTTCCAATTTTCCTTTTTATGTATGGTGTTGGATTTTATTATTTTTGTTGCTATTTATTCATTAATTAAATTTAGTTATCCTAGAACAGTAAAAAGTAATCACATTTTCAGAAATTGAGCCATCCCAGGTAAGATTTGAACTCACGACTTTTGGATTAGAAGCCCAACATGCTATATACACTGCACTACAGGAACACGACGAGCGATTTTCCTTTTTATATATGGTGTTGGACTATTATTTTTGTCTATTTCTTTTTATCCATAATTAAATTTAATTAATGAATTAATATTTGAAAAAACTATATTAACATCAAGTGTCCTCCACTGGAAAATTTAAAAAAATGTATTTGAACTTGAGTGGATGAATAAAAAGTATTTTATTAACGTTTGAAAATTTGAACTATATATATAGGGAGAGTGTGAACTAATATATAGTAGGAAATGAAAAAGACAGAAAAGCTTAAAAAATTCAAGAAATTTATTAATTACTGTTTTCACAAACTACACAAATTTTACAGCTTTCCATTTTTTTTGTTAAAATAACGTTACTTTCTGGATGAAAAAAAAAATCAAATGTTTTGAAGGTAAATCTTATTTTTTAAAATGAATTTTATATGAAAAGGAGCTTTTTTTAGTTTTTAATAAATCTCTAATGAAAATTAATCTTCTAAGGTTATTCTAAGGATAAAATTTCTAATGTCATTTGTTATGTAATCGCTTTAAAGGAAATAATTGTGTTTCCGAATTTTTTCTTAAGTAGCGAAAGTATAAAAATCAAACACACTCATTTACGTTTTAGCTTGTGGCATAGAATGAAGTGTGAAGTTCTAAAGGCTCATTCACACCAAGGCGTTCGCCGTCGCGATCAAAGTAGAAATTAGAGATATTTCCGTCGATCGATTCACACCAAAGCGTTTTCGTACGCGCGCGGTGGATTTCTGCTCATTAGGTGTCGCTGAAGATAGTAGTTGAAAATCACTTTTAAGTAGTTAATTCTGACTTGTTAAGTATGGATCGCAAGAGAAAAGAATTTTTTGTAAGTTTGTTAGTATTAAAAAGGGAGGGGAAAAAAACAATAGCGGGTTCGACGTATTTTTTTAAAAAAAAAAAAGCGATTAAGCCCAACATCTATGGTAATAGTTGAGATGCGAGTCTCAGACACAGAAATCTATTTTAATTTTTTTCGAATGTCTCGCCGCAGCTTTTCGATAATTTACTATCAATAGTTGGGCCAATTATTTCTAAAATCGATATTATAGAGATAGTATTCAACCAAAGGATAGATTGGCTTCACCTCCGAGGTTTATACAAATTTCTTCTAATGTGAATAAATTAGTTCTGAAACTTTTGATGCTCTTACAAATGTTCATTTAAAAAATTTAAATAAGAATGTTTAAAGCAACTTCTCTTACTTGCTGTGTTGGTTAAACATTGAATTTTTGTCATGTAACAGAGATTAAAAACAAAACATTATTTTGTGATAGGAATCAATTTAAAAACACAAATTAAGTTAATTTTTCTTAACATGCATAATTACATTGCTAATGATGCATGTTTCTATTAGGTATTGATACATAATTAACTCTTTCATGCACTGAATTTTTGATAAAAATAATGCACTAAAGTGAAATAATTACAAATATTTTAGATAAACTTCACTAAACTATAATTATTGAACAAAAGCTGGTACATATTAATATTAAACATTTTTTTTTTTCAAATAAAGGGTGTCTAAAGTTTTAAAAAATAGGAGGCACATATTTTATACCACCACACTTCAAGCAGCATGATAGTTCTGAAAACTTTATTTTTCCTTCCCTATGAAAAATGAGTTGCAGACACAACTCATCCAGGGAAAATAAATAAATACTCTTCATCTTATGCTGCTATTCATCCCATAAATTAAAACATTTTCAGTTTTTTCTAATCTAGTCTTGTAAGCTTAGTCTTAGTTTGGTCCTAATTTACCTAATGTTTGTTTTAATTTTAAATATTCTATTCTATACATTATTTTATTTTACCTAGTTTTTATTTAGTCAACATATCTAATAAGTGTATTAGTTGTATTTATTTTTTCTTGTACATGAGCTATATCTCATTCAAGCCATTTGTGTAATTTTGTATGTACTATTATTTAATAAATATTATTATTATTTTTAAAAAATGTAACTAACAACAACAATAAACACAATATTTGGCACAATAAACATGTCCATTATTGAGAAAAAATAAGCAAAATGCATTTTGTATTTCTAAAGAAGATGGCCTTCAATAGCGTGGTGGTGCATTTTTTGGGCACTCATATTTTCATACTAGCAATACACATGTAAGGTACTAATTATTGTAATACTGACTCATTTAGTTACATAATATATGTACTTACCTGGTTTGTATCAAATATCACAAGAATCATTTTTATTTACACATAAAAATACACAACACAGTCACTTCCAAAAAATAACACTCAACAGACGATCAAAGAATGAACTACTACATAAACCCATTACATGCAATTAGCTTCTGATATCTGTTGGAAACTTGAGTAATTGCTAGGATTTGACCTCTGTGTTGGTTCAGAGAATGTACCCCCCCCCCAGCATCAATTTCTGAGGCATTGAAACAAGTGGTGCATTTTATGAACCACCACAGAATAAACACATAAGAACTTGTGGTACAACATATGTACCACCAAGGATGAAAGAGTTAATAAGCTCAACACAATGTGACCAGTGTTTATCATTCTTTTTTGTTGGTTGCACATCTGAATACAAAAAAATGTGACAGATGTATGTTACAAACATATATTTATCAAAAGATTTAATTAAATATCTGACATCCTTGCTTATTGAATGAAATATTTTTTTATTAGTTCACAGCAATGCAAACTCATCAAAAAAATATACAGATTGGATTATTTCACAAATCTTTTGATTTTAAGAAAGCCAATATCAATCCATGTCAATTGCAACTGGACAAAAAAAAAATAATATCAAATAATATATAACAGGAAAACTAAATAAAAAAATATCTGTCTTGAGTAAATGTTGATGTAATTACATATATTATTTGCAAAGCTACAAAACTCATGTACTTTTAATTGTTTGTAGAAAATTCTTGTGTAACAGATGGGCTCTCTTGACGCATAGGGTTAAAAAACTGTAATCTAGATACATGCTCAAAAATTATGATCATACAAACTATTAAGTTTTACGATAAAAAAAACTATAAGATGGCATTTCTTACAAAACTTAAATAATAACAAAATAAAAAAAAAATGCAAAATATTTTCATACAAGAATAAATCTGAAATACACTTTATTTAATGCACATTTTGTCATTATTGGATGTATTAAAATATGTAAATTAACTCTAGAGTATATATGCTTTATCATCAAGGAAGTTTTTTTGAAATAGTTTTTAATGCTAAGGTGTTTTTGATATTCTGTATTGCAAGAAGAAATTCTTATTATGGAAATTTGTATAAAAAAATGCTTCAATTTTTTTTAATACTGATATTATAGATTTCTACACTATAAGAAAATATTAAATAGTTTTTTTTATTTTGTAACACAATTGTGCCATAACACACGACCTATTATCAATTTTTTCAAGAAAAAAAAATAAAATGTAAATAAATAATTACAAGAAATTTTTAAGGAAGTATAAATTTTCTTTCTAGCATTTTTTCTCAAGCTTTTATTATTAATTAATGGGTTTTTTTCTTTTCTCTATGTCGTGGTCAAAAATTTTAAAAGCTTTTTTCTCGCATTTTAAAGCACTTGATTGAGCTGGAATTTAAAAAACAGGATTATTTTAGAAGACTATTTAATTATAATTAATAAAAATTAATTGATTAAAACTAATTATTCAAAGAATTACAGATACAGCCATATTGGCGCCATTCTTGGTGACACAGTGACCATTTCAGCGCGTGACTTGGGTCAAAAACTTTTTTTCTCACATTTTAAAGTGCTCAATTGAGCTGAAATTTTCCATACACGACTGTTTTGGGTGACAATACAGTAAATTAATAACAATTAATTTACAAAAATAATTATTCAGAGCGTTACAGATATATCCACGTTGGTAGCATTTTTGGCAATTTAGCGACATTTTGGCGACTTGTGTCAAAATTTTAAAAGTTTTTCTCACGTTTTAAAGCGTTCGATTGAGCTGAAATTTAATGCACACGATTGTTTTGGATGATAATACGATAATTTAACTACAATCAATAAAAATTAATTGATTAAAAGTAGATTTTTGAAGAATTTAATTTTATTTATAGTTCCTATTGTTTATAATGTGTAACGATTGAATTAGTAACAATACAAAAGCATATTCATCCGTGATTGGTTAAGTGTGCGACACGTGACTAAACTATGCTCGCTCAAACGCCTGAAGTTGAATCTTTTTTAAGTTAAAATAGTCACGATCACAACTTCTTCCACTGCCGGAGATGATGTCTCTGATTGGCTAGACGCTCAACGCTTCACGCTGACTGCCTTGGTGTGAATGCGGCTTAATAGCCTATGTTTGCTTTCCATGGCCCACGGCTTTTAATTACGATGTTACTAGAAAATAAATTACTGTGATATCTAATTATAATTTAAATAAAAATAAATATGAGCCAAATTTGTAAACATTTAATAAAATTTAATTTTCTGTTGCGTTCCCTACAAACTATCAATCAACAGTCCCTGTGGTTCCAATCAATCAATCAAACTCGAAAGATTTGCTTGTAAATATAAATTTTAAATTTGTCGAGGAAAAGTTTATGTATCTTTTGGGAGCTTCGGTTTTTTGTAAATCGTTTATTTTTAGATTGCCTTACGTTTCATTTATTATTTTTAGAATTTCGAAGAATGAATAAAATACTGTATGGAATTCGCGGTGTGCGATTATTGTGTTTAAATAATTCAGTAAAAATTTGTGCTATTCCGAAACGTAATGTTTCTGATTCAAGTAAAGATGCACAGCCTGAAAAACCAAAAGTTTTGGATGAAATTAAAATTTCAGGTTTAGCGAAAGCTCTTGGGAAATTTCGTGACATTGAAAAATCTGATGATCAAAAGAAACTTGAACCACGTGAAGAAAAAGGTTTTCTGAATTTATTAAGGCATTCAGAGTTTGTTCAGATGGGTGACCCTCAAGGAAAAATTGTTATTGGTAAAATCTTTCAAGTAGTCAATACTGAT